GCTGGACTTTCACCACAAAGACCAGAGTTCATGTCCCGTAGCAGAAGAGAGACCATTATATGATCCAATCAGAGTTGAGTTAGCTTTCTGTCGTTGTTTGGTTTTCACTCGCTCTCTGCTTCGGTTTTAGGAAACATCACACTTTGTTGGACAGTTTGACTTGTTAGAAGCTTTGTTGAGGTCAGGAACCAACATTACTTAGAAAAAAATATCCTACGATCGTTTCCCTGAAGCTTCTCCTCCATTTCCTGGGTTTCCATGGTGACAAGACCTCCTCCATCTAACATATGATCATATAAACGTATAAAAACAATCAGGTATAAAACAGGCTTCTGGCTGCTTTCATCAGAGCCATTACACGACTGCAGCATCCAACTCATTGCCTCCGAGTGGCGACCGTTGATGCTCGATGTCTCATTTGTCCCGGACCTTGACGTATCGGATAATCGATGTTCGCTCTATCTGGGACTATTCATTATGTTTTTGGCTTGTTGGTCTGCACTACTTAATGTGATGAAACTGTGCGAGGAAACTGGCAGCACGAGATCAGGGTTTAAACTCGCCGTGTCATCACCTTCTGGTCTACGTGGTGTCCTACAGGCTTTATGAGTCAATCAGCTCATGCGAACCACCAGTGATGTGGCGCTCTGTGCACAATAACATGACAGAACATCTACATTTGTCCAGAAAAGCTGCACTTAGCATGTTATCGTAGCTGCTGCTGGCGGTATTTTGACATCCGTTGGGCGGCGGCGGCTCTATTTCGGGTCGGACTCGTATAACTCGGAGGCCTGCTGCGACTCCAAGGGCAAAGAAATATTTGTCCTCGATAATCTCGATTCCATAAACGACGCCCTCCATCCCCGGCCCTCCTTGCCGGTCCCTGGAGTTTGATGATGAGATTGCCGAAGACAGCCGAGGACTGATTTCGAGATTTCATTACATCATTATCGCCGCTTTATGACCGCGTGCCTGGCGGCGCCGCTTTCTCCGCCATAAGACCCTTTATTTATTTTTCGCCTTTCGTCATTGTCGAGGAAAAAGAGAGGGTCTTTGTTTGGGAGGAGCCTCTTAGGAAGGTCACGGCACAATCCTGCAGCTGGCACCATTTGTCGGGTATAATGAGCGGTTTGTGGGGCTCAGAATTTATCTAAGCATCTCTTGATATACATGTTTCTGTGTCAGCGGACCTCGAATTATGGGTCTTGCTCATTTCGCGGCCACCCGAGGGCCTGTTCCATTGTGCGATGAATAATATGGCAGCCGGGGAGGGATCTCTCACCCTCTCCTTCCCCCGTCGCTTGAACCTGTAATAAATTTCCCGCCAATGCCATATGGTAGCCAGTCATGTGTGGGACCCGGCGCGCCGTGTTATTTATTTATTTCCCAGGTGTTGCTTTTTTCTATTAGTGATTTATGTGTTATTGTGTATGATCTGCTGCTGGGATCTACGACACGGGCCGGGCAGGGCTTTTCTGGAAGGCGGCCCGGCCTGAAACGAAGCCACGGCGTTCGGAAGAGGCGCTCGACTCCGTCCGTTAGGGTTTCGGTTTTTTTGGACTTTGGCGAGAGAGAACCGGTCAAAGAGATGCCGCAATAGTGATTAAAAAAGAAAAAAGAAGGAGATAAGTGAGAGATGTTGTGACTACCAGCCAGTATTTAGCAGGGAATTATTCAGCTCTATCAAGTGCATATGCTTTGCTCCCAGCTATTGTTGTCTTGTTTGGAGGTTCTGGTTATGCAATGAAGCAAAGCACAGACGTTTCTTCTGGTCTTAAGAATTGTGTTGTGGGGGAAACATTTCTTTAACCCTCTAGACTCCCAGAACCCCACTGGCTGGTTTAAAATCACCAAAATGACCTCATTTATCATCGTCAGAAACTGTAAAAACAGAAATATTTGCTGTATTTTCAACCGTCCAACAATCCTACTCAACCAGATCAAAGCTTAACATCATCACATTTCAGCAAAATCACTTTCTCCTACATCTCATTTAAAAATTAACCAAAAATAAAGCATCTGCTCCAATGAGATTCTGTAAAAAACAAAAAATTCTGCTTTCATTGTCAGAACCGTGACGCTATGAGTGACTCGGCGACATTAAAGAGTGACCTGACAAAAATTCAAGGACTTTGTGGCTGCACTCGGCTTAACTGCAGGATGTGTAGGAACAGATGGAAATAACTTAGAATAAAAATAAAAATAATAATAATAAAGTGATGAAATATCTACAGCATGCAGGGGCCTTATTTTTTCAGTATTGGTAAAAGCTGTCGGATAAAAATGTTGGACATTTTTGAAGTCTTGGACAGATTCAGAAAAACAAAATCACTTTCTCCTACATCTCGTTTCAAAATTAGCCAAAAATGAAATATTTGCTTCAACCAAATTCTGCAAAAAACAAAAAATTCTGTTCTCATTGTCAGAACCGTGAAGCTATACGTGACTCAGCGACATCAAAGAGTGACTTGACAAAAATTCAAGGACTTTGTGGCTGCACTCGGCTGAACTGTAGGATGTGTAGGAGCAGATAGAATCAAATAACAATAAGTAAAAAAAATAATAATAATAATAAGAATAATAATAATAATAATAAGAAGAAGAAGAAGAAGAAGAAGAATGAAATATCTATAGCATGCAGAGTCCCTCTTTTATCAGTACTGCTAATTCAGTATAAGTAATTTGTTGTAAAAAAAAATTGTTGGACATTTCAGGGTTTTTAAAAAAAAAAAAATCTTATTTTTGTCAAAAGCACAAAGAAATGAAATTTTATTTTATTTTTTTAGGTTTTATGGCATCACGACTGTGTGAAGCTGCACAAAATGGTCTTCATGGTTGTTCTGTTTCCATTATATTGCAGTGAAAAATGCGACAGTAATAAATAGAAGTTCGGAGGGTTAACAAACTCTTTAATCTCAACATTCAGCCTTGGCTTCATCTCCTAAAACTCCTGCTAATTTACCAGATCAAATCATCTTTTTTTTAAAATACTGCTGCAACAAGGAAATGAGTTGAAATCGTTCCTGACAGCACGCTTTAATTTGCCTCTGTCATAATTTTGCTGTTGAGTGATATTAATTATTATTCCTCCTCCAGTCGCTCTTTGCTTGTTTGTTTTGTCTCCGTCAGACTAAATCATTTGTGCAGAAGAATGGCCAAAGCAGAGTGAAGCCATTTCACTCCCTGACCTCAATTAGTCTCCTGATAAACACACCTTTTGTCCAGGAACAAAAAAAATTACTCTCATCCTGTTATTAGGATTAAATTACGGCTCTTGTAAACAAATACTTCTTCTCGTATGTCAACTCCCGGCGCAGAAAGGTGGACGTGTTCTCTTTTTGTGCCGCTATTACAAACAATTACGGACTCGAGGGGCTTTCAGAGTAATCAAATTTGAGGGCTTTGGGGGCAGAAATTTAAAGCCTCTGGGCTCTTTTATTAGCACGGTAACAGCATTCAGATATACTCGATTTTAAACACCTCCCGGAAGAGTCGCTGCTGCTGCTGCTGCTGTCCTTGACTTGGTAAACAAGGATGTTAGATTAAATGCACGATAGATTTTCAGTTATTAGATTCGTGTCAGGCGGCGAAAGCTGGCGTCTCCGATCGTGTCGATTAGCGGAGTTAGAAACAAAAAGGGAAGCTGAGCGGTTAGCTTAGAGCCACGTGTGAGTCGGCCTTCATCCCCTCGGTGTCGGGTCACTTCGGCGCTCTCTTTAGGCCCAGATCTGCTTTTGTTCTCCGTGGGGATTACAGAGCGGAGAACAGAACATCTTTATTGTGCCTGTAGTTCATGCAAAGTGAAATCTGCCTCCCTGAAAGCTCGGTAATGAATGGCACCGACGAGTTCACTTCTGCAAAGAGAAAAACAGGATTTGACAAATGTGCCTTGTAGAGTTTTTTGGCTTCATAATTGGACGGACGGCATGAATATTTCACTGGAGGGGAGGGGGGCACACCTCCGGTCAGAGGACCTATCTCTGTACAACGAGCCTCCACCAAATTGGTTGATTGAAAGGAATAGAAGTTATTTTATTTTTTTTATTATTTCCTGTCTTTTATTCATCCAGGGACTGTGCTGAGTAGATATTAGTTTTCTCCCCTCTCGCTCTCCCCTTTAGCTTTAACGACGGCGCTTTTAATCCACTTTAAAACACCTCTTCCTCCCAGGGGTGCCAATAAAGAGCGAATTTTCTGTTCCTCGGCGGACGTTTAATGGTGAAATGTCGCTCTCTCCTCTCCGCAGACAAAGCTACGATGGGCTGGAGAGGAAGCTGAAGGAAGTGTTCAGCGAGCGGAGCAGCATCCTGCACCAGCTCTCCAAGACTTCAAAGGAGCTGGACAGCATAAAAGGCAACCTTCAGGTTTGGGTCTTACTGTTTCTTTCTTTCTCGTTGGACGGGGCTGCGAGTTGTGCAGGTGCTGCAGGTGATTTTTCATCCATCCGAGGCGACCCGTGACTCCTCTCGCTTATTTTTCAATCAGTCTGCCGCGAACCGACTGGATGTTGTTAAATATTAATGCGGCGACGCTTCTCAATTCTGCAGACCCTCCCATTGTTACATGTCTAATGTGTGGCTGCTGAATAATGGAAACCGCTTTAGTGAGTAAGCAATTTGTGTACCGCGAACGCAAACAGCTGTGAAATCCAATATTAATGGGACGTATTAGATCAGTTTAACGGCGTTCAAAGCTGCGAGGATATCTCCAGATTTTTTTATTTTTTATTTCTTTCCCCTCCCTTTTGAAGCCGTCAGTCCTGTCGCCGTCCTCACCGGAGTCTGAAGCTGTGCACCCGGCAACATCGCAAGAGAAAATAGGTCAACAAGCCCGTCCAAACACACGATCAAACAGAGCAGGAACCCCGGGCGAGTGAAATTTATTCTGGATAAACACTCGAGACGCTGCAGGTGGAGCTACAGCCTCGAACCGGCCGCGGTAAACATCCTGCGGGTCGACCTCTGACCCGGTGATTCGCGGCGTCTTCCTGATAATTAGGAGCCGCTCGCTTTTAGCTTTGCGTCTGCGACAAGCGTTGCGTAATCTGGCAGAACCGCCCGCTTGTTTACAGCCACTGAGACGCTGTGACAACTGATGCTCGCTGCCCCGTGGGCGCCGTTCTCTGCAGCAAAAGTCAACTGTGACAAACGGGAACCTGAGTTTTAATAAACGGCGGCGTTCTTTAATTGCATCCCTCATTAAATAATGTCACACAGAGACCATGATGCAAAGAAAACGTGTCATTTTCTGCTGACTTTTTCTTTGCTCTTGCTGTATATTAATCTTTTTTTTGCAACCAAACCCCACTTTACATGCAAACATGCTCTAATTAAATGTAGCCTGTAAACAGAATCACCTTCAGGGTAGACGAAGGTAAAATAAGGTCAAAAATAGACTCATGAGACGACTTCAGGTGGACGATTATGAGGATTATCAGTTGTTTTTATGGACATTTTCTCCAGTAATGTACCTTATTATACTCTACATCAGGGGTGTCGACATCCGGTCCTCGAGGGCCACAATCCTGCATGTTTTAGATGTGTCCTTCTTCCAACACACCTGATTCAAATGATCAGGATCGTTATCAG